GGTGGTGTTAAGCGTCAAAGCGGAGAACACCACGTCTTGACGAACACCACTAATTGCATTGAACCAATTCGACAAAATCCCTTCAGTTCGAGTGGTGTGTTTCGTCCGTTCGTACAGATTTTGAATCAAGTTTACCATCACGTGTGAAATGACAAGTCACGGTGTATGGCGATGAACCGTTCAAAAGCAACCCGGAAGTCCAGAACCGTCGTTTGCCGAGGAAGTTGGTAGAAACTACGGCACAGCTCGATGATTCGATCCGGCACAAAGATATCATCCATGTATGAGTGCCCCCTCCGGAAGCATGTTTGGTTACTTCACAGCAATCGATCGACGGTCTCACTTAATCGTCCAAGAATGATTCGCGTGAAGACCACCTCCAGCATTGGTATGAGGGTGATTGATCGAGAGTTGACACGATTCCCACTCTTGAAGATCTGAACTATCACGCCTTGCTTCCGCTTGAACTATCACGCCTTGCTTCGGGGACGCGGTCAAAAGCCAGGTGGATCCAGTGGATATGGTTTTCATCATTGCACCTCAGGACTTCAGCTTTAATCCCGTCGTGTGCACCAGACGTCGAGTTTCGGCAGAGTACTATTGCTTCTCGTATTTCTTCGACACCCAGGAATAACGGAACAAAAGCACCCCATGGCGATTCGTCGTGAATCTTGAAAAACGCCGTTTGCATACAACAAGATGGTGATCTGTCACCTCTGGTTCACCCAAACAAGTAACACGATGAGAAATTCATCACGGAAACGTTGATCTGCTCGATGAACGATTTTTAATATAAATATTACCAACCTAAAAGTGGTAATGGACGCAAGAGTGGTGATCCAAGAATTATTTACAATGCACATATCATTGAAGGATCGGAAATCAGGAAGTTTAACATCGTCGGATTCTTACGGGAATCGCTCTTCTTACCAATTGCACTTTTACATTTCTGTTTGTCGGTATTGACTCTGTTTTCGGGTCCCAAATCTGGATGGTAGATTTTGTGCCACAACTATTTCCAGGGCATCGTCGGCTTCCTCAGCGAAGAATTCGTTTTGTGGCTCTAAATCGTGCACGTACCTGCATTAGGCCCAGCGTCCGATCTTCGAATCTCAGCTTTAACATACAATTCTCTCCCCCCCCACCACCCATGAAGAAACCAATTAACAATGGCGCATAATTATCCTCTTTCTTGTATGCTCTAATTGTTGGGTTAGCTCCAATGAAGAAAAGCGTTCATCTGTTTTCGGAATCCAATATCTTGGTAGAAGTAGATCTATTCCTTTTGTAATAACGCTCTGCCTCTTCAGCCAGCTCCTGGTAGTTTCTAATGTGACCAGTAGTCAAATTTTGCTGGTTTTGCCGGTTATGTGTGAAACTTCTTGAGATCCTTTTCGCAGTCTGCGCTGTTTCTGATGTTTCTCTCTAAATGAGTTACTGTACTACTGATCAGGTTGGGCAACCTGTTTAGCGTCCGCTCGTGCACGGGAGGGGGGGGGTGGAGGAAATTTATGCTAAATTTTTGAAAGAAGCCCTCTACCTGAGTTTCGAGCACGTCCTTTAATAACGGACACGATGATGCGTCATAATTGCAACTCTTGGCTCCCATGGCTTTTCATCCATATTATCATGATCGCAGCCTAGCAGTGCGACGTAATGTGGACAGATTGATCAACAGAGCTAACCTAACCCGATATCCTGCTTTCCTTAATCCTTCCATCTCCTGACGATATATAAGTCTGGTCATTTAAGCTT